CCAGATGGCCACAGATGGCAGACCGGAAAAATGCATTGCCTTCAAGTAATAAACTTCCGTTTTGATCATCGCTATTGTATTCATAAAGAACGTCACAAGTATTGTGCACAGACGGGTTTCATTAGTTGATGGGCGGTTGGAGTGTAGCAGACCCTTCACAATGCGTCACAGAACACGGGGGTCGCGAGCCGACTTATTGACGCACGGGGCATAGAACAATCTGTGAGAATCGACAATGAGTAGGTTTGCAGATCTGCAGGTAGCTCTGCAAGCGAGTCGGACAGTCTCGACAACAGTTTCCTTCTGCGGAGGCTCCAACCTCCTTTGCGTCTTGGTTCGCAGCGATCGCCACAGGTGACAGCCACTTACTGGCCACTTTTCCCTTTCACGTTGTTCTTGTTCAGGTATGGCATGAGTTCATCAAGAACATCAGTGTTGTAATTTTATAATTGCGCTGCAAAATAATCGCCCATCTATGCAGGATTTAGACACGCCGATGATTACCGGATCTTCTGACGGAAAGCATCTCTGTCGGGAACTGGACCGGTACCACCTGCATCTCTGCGGTATTTAAGATGTTCTCTGGACTGGCTCTGGCTCCTGTCACTATGAGGAGTGGACAGTTCTCTACATGGGCCAGGAGACTGCCAAACTACAGTGAGTGGCTATTCTTTTAAACAAAAGAATGAAGGGGGCGTGGAAGCATGGTGGTTAGATTTTGATTTGAATTTAACATCTTGTTTGACCACGCAGTTCAAGAAGCATTCCATATCTGTACAATGGGATGCTGATCGATGCCCGGGTGTTGTCAAGGGATGGCTCCCTATTGGTCAACCATGTTATGTATGCTGACTATCTGCTGATTACTGCTCACTCAAAGAAGGACTTGGAGGTGCTGCTGCTTGACCTGGAGCATGCTACTAAAGGGTGGGGGCCCTTACCATCAGCCCCTTCAAAACGAAGCACCTGCCTGGGTATTTTGGTCATCAAACACTCCATGCCCTCAACTCCCTATTGGTGACAGGATAGTTGTGGAGAGAGTGGAGAGGTTTCCATACCTGGGCAGGGTGCTTATGACCAGTTCTGGTTAGACAGAAGATGTCTCACTCCGAATCAGTCGAGCGGCATTATATTTTGATTGGTTGCGTAACGCTGTGTGGAATCTACCCGGTCTGTCACTCCACTTGAAGCTGTGGGTCTTCACGGCCAAAGTCATGCCCACCCTTCTCGATGCATGCGAAACGTGGACCCCCATAATAGAACATCTTCGCTGGTTAGAAATATTCAGGCTGGCCTGTCTATGATCCATCTTGGGTTTAACCAGGCTGGATTGTGTAAGAAGCTGACAAATTCTTGAAAGATCTGGACACATTCCCATCGGTGAGCTCCTCTGACAGGTAAAGCTGCATTCGCTGGGTCATGTAGCCTGCATGCCCAGCCAAATCACTTTTGTTCGGCCGAATAGAGAGGGCTAAATGGGCTCGGCACTGGCTATAGAAGATATGGAATGGTGTGGTACAAGAGGATATGGAGCTAAGTGGACTTGCCAATGACTGGTACCAGCAGTGGCAAGATCGGCCTCTTTAGAGGAGGCTCGTGAAGGACGCTACTAAGCAGTTGCTGCCCAGCAACAACGGAGGGCAGAGAAGTGACAGAACAATGAGTGGAGTGCCAGGTGGCTAAAACCTGGCAAGCTGGCACAGTAAAGGGCACATGGTGGTGCATCTGCTGGTCATCTCGGTCAGTCAACCCATGGCACCTGGGTCTGTTCCGTGACCTCCTGTCAGTGGGCGTTTGACACTTCACGTGGCCTTAAAGTGCACATAGCCTGGCACAAGCACCCGTGGTGACCTCACCACAACTTAGTGGCAAATGGCGGTTGTCATTGTTGTTGTTAGGTAGGAGTCTGAGTGAAGCCCCCCCCCCTCCTCCCCATTTAAGAATTCACATCAGGGTGTAATTACTTATATCCGTCGACTATATGGATGTTTATACTCAGTATGTTATGTTCGCAACGCAGTGTCGTCCACCCTGCACACTTCACACGTCGTGTCGAGCTAGAGGCACCGTGCGACGCTTCTTGTGTATGGGTTTGGAGTTGGAGTTTGAGAATGAAATGGAAACTACCTTGAAGAAGTCTCCACGTCTATCGTTGTGAGCTTGACCGACACCCAGGTCCACGAGCATACTATCTTATAAATAATTAAATGTGCTGCGATAGGACTGTACATAAGCTCTACAGTTTTAAAGTGCTAAACAACCATTATGCATGCAAATTACTGGCAAACTTTAATTACTTAAGTGATAAACCTCCTTATCAAGTTACAAATTCTGGAGATAAAAAAAATATAGCTTTACCAATGGATTGCATTTCCAAGTTCAATAAAATCTCAGATCACTGACAGCCCCTAAGCCAGCCAGCTCAGCATTGATACATGAACCACAGCCAGAGTCAACGACAATCGCAACCACACACTGCGGAGATATATCGAAACCTAAAAGCATTCTTTAGCTCTACCTGGCACCTTTTATGACGTGAATTGTTTACTTCACGAGCACTTAAACCAACACCATTAAATATAAATGGGGCAGTGGTGGAGTGGCTCTTGCACTGCGTTACGATTCCCAGCAGCGGTGAGTGATATCTGGACCAGGCCTACCCCCTCTCCACCCACATTCACCCGTCCAGTCTGACGTGTGGTGAAGTATGGTTAAACAACTCCAATGGCCGACACATAATTGGTAGACCTTCATCTAATCGTGGGTTGACAAAGGGCTGCAGTTAATTCGTGTCGTCTTCAACGTCACGTGCAGAGGTTTCTGCAATGCCAGCTGCTCGGCTCACCTCACTCTGCTGCCACGTGTCTCGAGGTGTGGAAGTCACGTGATTTTATCATTAAATACATCATACTCAACACATTTGTCAATAACACAGCCTTTAAAGGAAACGTGTATAAGCAACGTATTTAATATGTGACATTTCGGGAAATGGCCCTTCTTCAAAGCACTTAAGGGTGGTTTTTTTGTGAATGTGTTGAGTTATTTGTAATATGTGCTTGGGCACCACTACCAACGCAGTATCAACAAGTCATTAGTTTGATTCAGTTTAACACGTAGACTTTCGCGACCAATATCATCCATAATATAGCTTTTTTGGGTTAAATTTACGCGATTTAACCCAAAAAAACTCTAATATGGTTGATTTTATTCACATCGTTTGTACTGTATATCTAAATATGTCCATGATGCACTCACTGATCATAATACGAATGGAAGCATAGGCTTTCAGTGTGTCCCACATTCATTTATTTGTCTGTGCACTTTGTACAAGTTCAGTCATGGTTAATCCACTGCTGGATGAACAATACACATAGAACCGGTACGTGAAATCACTTAATCACGCAATCTCCACAGTGGATGTCCATTCCAATTCGTTTTAGCTTCGTCGTTGACCAGCCGGTCAGTTTAGGGAGATGAGTGACACCATAATTGTATGATTAGGGGCCTGGATGAATAGGGGAGAGGGGGTATGAGAGGGGAAGGCCTAAATGAACTCATCAGATGTTAAACTGGATCAAAGCTGCATCTTGTGAATGGACTTGCGCATGAAGCAGCAATCCTGCACTCCGAAGAAAGTTGGATATGTGACTTTGTACTCCGGACGGATTAACTTGGAGGGGGGCCTAGGGTTGTTATTGCTTTGGGGGGCCACTCTTTGGGTATTCAATTCCTCCCCCTGATGGTTTACCACCACCACCAGCACCACCACCAGCACCACCACCAGCACCACCACCACCAGCACCACCACCACCACCACCAGCACCACCACCACCAGCACCAGCACCACCACCACCACCAGCACCACCACCACCACCAGCACCACCCGATACCAAATGCTCCACAGTTTTTCACCTTGGTTATTTCATTTCTAGTTGTTGTTGTTTTTTTATGTGATCGACAAATTGTAACGCCAAATAAAATTCAAGATGAAACAAAAACTACGCTTAAATGTCTGCACATAGCTGGTAGTCATACTGATCGGGTCGCTATGGTTTTATTACAACATTAGCTATAGGGTTTAATATAATATTGCGTTTCAACCATTGTCAAGCAGTGTATAATCTTGGGGGTCCCTCAAAATCTCAGGCCCCAGGCTTGAGCCCCTACGTCCCCAGCATTACTCCGGCTCTGGTTGTGCTGTATGATATATAAATGCAATCTACTCATGTTTATATTAAGTCAACTTGCTTGCAACACCATCTCTAAAGGTGTTATATATATATACCGATACAAAAATACGAGAGAAAATATCCCCCCTCCAAGTATTGTCGAATGGGGCCTCCCAATGAGAACCAGACATCAATTGTGACACTTTGGACTTGCCACAGTTATTGTTTGTTCCTCCAGACCCATTACATCTATCGCATTGCATTAACATCATTCATTTCACCCGTTTTGAAATACATCACTTTTGAAACAACAAGAAATGTCCGTTCACCAATCATCTGGATTCCTTCCATTGATCGATAGAAGCCAAAGATCGCTGGAAGCCTATGAGAGGCCACCAAACTGCTTTGCTAAATATAATCCCTAAATATTAATGTGTTATTTGTTTGCTTTGGGGCCCTCATGAACAAATACCCAGATCCATTTAAACCCCTGCTTCATGTGACATTTGTTTTGTATTATAGGGCCCTTATTTATGTAGTTGTCTTTGTTTTACTACACTGTCATCAATACAAGTCTCATCTCAAGCTCTCTGCTAACTCCACAACAGCAAGAGGAGAGTTTGCAGTACTCAATGTTCAAAATAACAATATGCTATTCAATGCGTTTCAAAACAACAGTAGTCGTGAGAGTTTATGCCCTCAAAACTAGAGAAAAAAAACTGGCCACTTTTGACCAAACACACCCACACAGGCATGCAAACACACCCCCAGAGGATCCACCAATCTCGACACTCAAATCGTTTGCCGCCCACAGAGTGTTTTATTTAAGCTGAGGACGCTCACCTTTTCTGACACTGGAGTGATTCACATCCCCATTGATTGACTATTAGACATTTGTCCATAATTTTTTTTGTTTTTCCACTTCGCTAAAGTATAAACGATCATCTTCATATTTGTTTTTCCTTTCGTGGAGTTGTGCGTGACATCGTTTTACACGACCGGTAAGTTTATGATTTTTAGATGAAATATGAAGTTTACTTGCAGACTAATTTGTGCCATATTGCTATTTGTGAAAATAACGCACAGAATAAATACCATTTTTATACGGTGCATATTATAATTTATATTAACATGCGCACAATGCAATATTTAAAATATGTAATACTTGTAATTGGTTATCAGACTACGGTACAATATTTTAAATCTTTGCTCAGAAAAACGTATTATCATCGCATAAGTGTCCCACTTGGGATGTCAAAATAATAATATTTAAAATAATCTATTAAAATATTTGTTTAAATTAAAACATATTAAGAAAGATATTGTGGAATTTTAGGTATGATTATGCTTGATAATGCATCCAGCAGAGTAGGAAAGCTTAGACAAAGTAAGAATAATGGTTTATCGCTCATATAAACTTTACTTCAAGTGGTTGCAAAATCTCAGCTCGTAGGAGACTTTAACAGGCAATCTTTTCTAAACTCCCAATGTCCCATCACGGCTCACCGTTCCACATGTCATTAGTTTTACCCATTCGAATGCAAATGAACCTGCCCTGACCGGTTGAATGACTAAAGAGGGAGCACAAAAAAGCCATCCTCGGCCAGAGTGGCGTGGCGGGCGAGTGGCGTTTTGGAAAAAGGAATATCCTAGAATATTGTTCATTTTGAGAACGCACCAGCAAAGGTGCCTGCTGTATTGTAACTGCCCCCTGGGTAGGTGTTCGCGGTTTTTGTGCAAGTTCTACATTCCAGTGTGCGGGTGGGTGGAGGGATTGGGACGAGGACTTTATCTCGCCGTCGTGTTACCGGGTTGTACTGTGTCGATGAACATGCTGTCATCCGATGTATGTGTATGTCCGTAGCCAAACGTGCTAATCGGAGGTGCGAGCAAGACAATAAGCTGAACACAAAAAGCAGTTCTGAAAAAAGAGTTCATAGCTCCAGTGGCTTCCTAATATTGGAAGGAGGCTTCCTAATACCGGAAGGATATTAGCACCTCCGATTAGCGCGATTATCTGCGTAAGATGCGGCAGAAGTTCAACATACGTACCTACATGTCCGACGTTTTGCTGAACTTGCTGTGAGAGCGTCTTTAGGAAGGGAAGTGAGCTGCTACGTGACGTACACATTCGTATAAAATTGAGCCAGAAAGTGAGCTGATCCAAAACAGTTTTCGAACAAGCTGCGAGCACGTGGAGCGAAACGTCGGACATCGTGCCGAACTACACAGAGTACAACTCGAAAGTACAACGGACATCTAAACTTGCTGCCCCCCCCCCCCACCCCACTGGAATATAATGTAAGGTGTAGCGCAAGGTGTAGCGCAGATCGCCCAACACATACAGATGAGTATCGACCCTACGATTGCCCAGGTATAGAGGAGATACCTTAGCTATTTGTTTTTGTCGGGCAACTATGAATGATATACTGTTTTAAAGGCACACTATTTTCATGTAGCGTTTGAAAAACTCTAACATTGTTAAAATGGGTTTTTTATGCTGAGAAACAGATATATGGAGACCTATTTATCTGCTGATCTATTTTGTTCTTTATATTCTTATACAAGGACCCAACCCTATTTATCGTTGAGTTACGTATATGGTCGATGACCAAAGATAACAATTCCCATACGGTTCTTTGACTGGAGTTGGTGATTCATTATCAGTCCGGGACCTACTGCAACTTTGCTTGCGTGCTGAGCCCAAATTAACAATTCATTCAAAGCTCCTCCGTAGAGAATTAGCAGTGCGGTAATTTGGCAATTTGCACGTGTGCGTTAGTCATATCAATCAGTTGGTACCCGCATTTTTAATTGGAATGCATTGATTTAAATAGATTATGTAAACACCTGCATTATTAATGAGGGATGTACACGCAAAAACTAAACCTCTGTAAGAATGCGTACATTTGCATAATTGTTTAACCATTATGAATTAACTATAACAGATTTCATTCCGAGTTTGCTCTATGTAATAATTACTATAATCACAGTAAATGTGAAATCTTATTACATGTATGTTTATTATTATTATTAATTACATGCCCCAATGCGTCGGTGGATGAGCTGACAAACATACCAACTCGTAACGCTCTGCCAAGTCCCGTCTCGCCCAGCGGTTCTCAGAGTGAGTTTCCAGCACCACCGATTCGTGGTCCAACGGCGATCCTCCACGTGGGCCACGCTGGCTGTGACGCAAACGCAGGTTGATCCGGAAATAACTATACAAATTTAAGTTTGGTAAACTACCCTGATCAAAGTACCCAACTCTAAGATCTAAAAAAAATTTGGTTATGTTCCATCAATATTCATAATTTAGCATGAGCGGCATTTGGAGAGAAGTGAATGCGTTTTGTCAAAAGGAAATGTTTGCATCGGTTGATTGGTCTGCAGACCTAAACAGTTTGAGAAACAGCGAGCTAGAGGATTCCCTGTGTGAGCTAGCACAAATCGCAGGCCTGCGTCTTTACCTCTTACAACGTTGCTGGGTCGACCAGAGAAGAGTTTGCGCCACAGTCCGACGATCGGAAAGGTCGCGCATGTGGTGGAGTGAAGTGTGGGGACTCCTCCCTCTTCAAAGACGACTGGAGGCAACTCTCGCGAGCAGTGTCCGTGAGAAAATCATTTCAGGGCTGCGCCTACATTGTTTGAACCTAGGGCCAGTATAAACATGATGGGGACATGTCCCCAACAAACTCAGAATGAAAACTTGAGGCGCATGATGCAATCATTGCTGCATTCCGTGCAAGCCTCCAACCCCCCAGTGCCTTCGGGCTGACCCTGACATTGTTGGAATCAGAGGGGTTTTGGTACAACAATCTACAATCATTACATATACGCAACACTTGCGTCAATAACACCGACATTAAAAGGGAAATATATATAATTAGCTGACGTTTTGGGCAACGGCCCTTTTCATAGCACATAAATAAAGAACGACACGAGTAATATGTGCTTTAGTTGAAATAAAATAAATCTATATAGTACTAATTATTAAATATTACCTTATATAACTTATTGTCGAATGAAAATGTTACCTTTAGGATAATTTGCACGAAAATGAAATTTCGCTTTAAAGTTTTACTTTATGTTGGTTAAATTACACCCATAATTTTCTGTTGTGCATATGAATATTTAAATTATCCAAAGCCTGACTGAGAGAGAGGGCCCTTGCACTAATGTCCAAGCTTGGTCTAAGATTGAAATCTGTGCACAGGCCCGCTGCATCTCAATGTCGCGTGGCTAATAGAGCCTGGCCATTATTTATGATGAATTCCTCGGGATAAAGTAGCGAAACAGGTTCAACCCAAAAAAAACGTCCATAACCAACCCCTGGACTCCTCGACAAGTCTACAGCCGTTGCATTATCGCTCTCCCTCCCACTGTGAGTACAGATGTTGCAAATCTCATGTTGCCCTTGCCAAACCACATATTGGAATTGTTAACGGGGAGCCACTGTCTATGGCAACCGGTTTTTTCCTCTCTTGTCATCGTTGATCATTCGATACGGTGGGTGCGTGGTGCAGCTTCCACAATGTTTTGTTTACGTGGATCCGTCCGCCGCTTGTTTGGCAAATGTACCATGCGATTTACCAGAATGTTGACTCAGCAACAATGGGAGTGTTGTTTCGATTACTCAACGTGAATATCAACTGGAGTGCGTTATTAATTAATTATGCATGCTGCATTGAGAGGAACACACCGATAATGCAATAAAATAAAAGCAAGCGCGGATTCGTTTTAAAAATTATTTCGAAAGTCATCTCCAAAATGGGATAACGAGTTATTGGTACTACGCCCCACGCACATTAATGCAGCCACTAGTTTCGGTAATCAGAAGCAGCATTGTCTCATCAGTATAACAAAGGGATGATTCCATAACCTAGAGGTGGATGTGCAGCCTATTAAAGGTCCAACAAGTCAATAAATATTGCGAGATCAAACAAAATCCGCTCAGAGGAATTGAAAGGAATAAATTATTCTATCATAACATTCAAAGTTTTGCGGGTGCGATCATCATCTCATCTGGTGCAAATTCCACGTTCATACGTTCGGGGCCGGCTATAGATACCGCCACTAAAATAATGGGGAGAGATTATGTCGAAAACATCTTATTTCAAAGCCGCTACATGTCTTTCCACCGGTTTCAGTGCCCTGATTCACTCTCTTTAGACACTCTCCTCCTCCAACATTCTATGGTGAGGCATAAGCCTCGGTCATCGATATATTTACCGATCAAAGCCTAATTTGAATTAACATCATCAATGTTGTGTAGAGGTCATCTCGTGGCGAGCAGATCTTGACATTTAGTTCCTGAACACATTGTCGTGCGTACAAAATAAATACAATTGATATCTCGGATTTTGTCAAGTGCACACAGTCTTTAGTGTAACGCCCAGAGGAGTGGGCTTATGTCAGATGATTGCGGACGCCACATAATTATTCCATGCCTCTTGTAACCAATCACGCGCTCGCTGCATGGGGACCAGGGTCATTGTCTACGTGAGCGAGTATCTGTGTATGTACGTGAACTTCTGTTGCACCGAACGTAGCCAACCGTGCTCAGCAGAGGTGCGGGGAAGGACAACAAACTGAACACAAAAAGCAGTTCAATTTTTTTTTCCAATTTAGATTTAAGAATTATACAAACGATTTGCCCTGTGTATACAATAAAATGAAATTAATGGGGCAGTGCATTTTCCGCTTATTCCAGAGGTCTGTGGTTTCCGACCCTGCGGCCATCCTGGTCGATGCTTCGCAGTGCACCTCAAAGATTCCGTCAAGTTATTCGGAAATGGCAGAGACTCCCGCATGTGCCAGCGTCATGGCAAAATGAGCCACACGTTGCAAGTTTCATTTAAGTTTTATTTGAGCAGTTGAGGAGAACTCAAGATAAGGAAAATTACTCAATTGGGCAATGACATAAAGCAATGTCGCCCCGTACTTCAAGACTCCCGCACACCCCGTCTGTGAAACGTAGCACCCTCCTTTACTTGATAGTGTGCGCGCTCGAAGAATGGCCACGGATACCAAGTGTACTACGACTTTGCCCTGCGTTGTCTGTCAGATGATGGCGAACCAGACCATTAACGGGGTAAACGGAGTGACCGCGGGTAACGGGCACAGGGATCGGGCTCTGGCCGGCGCTGTGGGACCCAAGCGCTGGAACGTGCAGGCCTCCGAGATGGCCAAGCGGACCTTCAACCCGATCCGTGCCATCGTGGACTCCATGCACATCGAGCCCAACCCCCACAAGGCCATGATATCTCTCTCCATCGGTGAGCCCTGCTGTCCAGGGTCGCCCCTTCCTTCGACGCACAAAATACGGGGGCATATTCTGGGAAGACGAATATTTCACAATACCAGGAGACAGCTCCACCTAGGGGGGACGGTGGAGGAGGAGGAGGGGGAAAATTCTTCCAGGTCTCACACAAAGAAGGCTCCCAAATAGGCCTGTTTGTTGTTGCCAATCATTAGGGGCAACCAGCCCCAGGGCTCCAGATACTGATTTGAATTGTTTTTAAATGTACTGAAAATGTAGTGGAATGACTCATACATTTTCTCTGCAAATGTATTTTATATGTTGCAGTCTGCATTTTAAACAAATCTCATATTCGTTAAAAACATGTGGTGGCAGCGTCATTAAGTTTTCATTAATTAGGGAAGGTCTCAAAATATTCATGACATATTTTACCAGAGTTAGAAGCAAATAAAGGTGACATTACCATTTAGATTATGTTTTTTACAAAAAAAGCTTCAATATCCCATTACGTGTAACAGAGAGACAGCTGGTGCTATGGTTGCACGTGTGTGGGCATCAAGTTAACTTGCTTGATAGGGCATTGCAGCGGAACATTAATTCAACACGGTTGCCAGGACCTGCATTTCACGATGACAATAACGCGGTGGTACATTCTAGGCGACGGTGTAAAGCAGAGCTCGGGGAACCTCTTTCCCGACCGTCGCGTTTTCCAATTGCTAATGGAAGAGGTACAGCCCTGCAATTGCTTGCTCATGCCACTGCTGGCGGGAGGGCCTATCACGAGAGAGAGCCGCACGAGAAGGTTATCCAAGAATAATTTGGGGTCGCCGAGAGAAATAAGTGCCGCGCGCGTTTACATCAGAAACGCAGTGTTGTTGTCAGGTCCCAGTTTTTTACCCTTCGAGTACTCGATAGGGGCACCACGGCAGTGAGATGCTAACTACCTCACCTGCTACACAGGAGGCCGTAGGTTCAATCCAGACCCTGACGCCTGCTGTATATTTGGAGTTTGCATGTCTCTCTCCCCGTGGTCGTGAGGATATTTCTACAGGTTTTCCGGTTTCCCTCATTTAGAATCGTGCATTTCGAGTATTTGCCTGCAATAAATATCCACGTGGCGATAAGCCACTTCATTGAGCTATTATTTGTCACCAAGTCGCTATATAGCTCAGTAGGCCTCATCTGGTGATGGATAAATATCATTTGTATGTATGCGTGTTGAACTTCTTTCGCACTTTACATAGCCAACCGTGCTAATCGGAAGTTTGCTGGCTGCAAAACATTAAGTCGTGGGCTGTGTCTGACCCGCGTGCTGAAGACTTCCCCTCTCCCTTCGTGTAAACCTTCCTCCGCCTGGTTTCCCCGACCCAGGCGACCCCACGGTGTTCCGTAATCTGCCCACGGACAACGTGGTACGCACGGCCGTCAAGGAGGCCATCGACTCCGGCAACTACGACGGCTACGCTCCCTCCATAGGTGAGTGGCGAGCCCCACTCACCACCACGGTGAGCTCCACTCACCACCACGCGAGCCCCACTCACCACCACGGTGAGCTCCACTCACCACCACGCGAGCCCCGCTCGCCACCACGGTGAGCCCCGCTCACCACGGTGAGCCCCGCTCGCCACCACGGTGAGCCCCGCTCACCACCACGCGAGCCCCGCTCGCCACCACGGTGAGCCCCACTCACCACCACGCGAGCCCCGCTCACCACCACGGTGAGCTCCACTCACCACCACGCGAGCCCCACTCACCACCACGGTGAGCTCCAATCACCACCACGCGAGCCCCACTCACCACCACGGTGAGCTCCACTCACCACCACGCGAGCCCCACTCACCACCACGGTGAGCCCCGCTCGCCACCACGGTGAGCCCCGCTCGCCACCACGGTGAGCCCCACTCACCACCACGGTGAGCTCCACTCACCACCACGCGAGCCCCACTCACCACCACGGTGAGCTCCACTCACCACCACGCGAGCCCCACTCACCACCACGGTGAGCCCCGCTCGCCACCACGCGAGCCCCGCTCGCCACCACGGTGAGCCCCACTCACCACCACGGCAGCAAGCTGCGCTTGTACCCAAGGAAGGAAATGTTGTAACGCCTGCAGCTTAAATTACGAACACGTTTTTACGTAGCAATTATAACGTTTGGAATAGGTTTTCTCCTTTTTTCTGGCAACAAAACAGGTGTTAAGATGTTAAAACACCAAACTCAAACCTTTTACAAAGAATCGTGTGTGCATTAACCTCAATACTTGTGTTCAGAATGCAAAACAAAAAACATACTCTGATAATATATGCATTGTCTTCGAAACTGGTTGGTCCACACCAGAGACAGCTTTCTTTTGAGCCTCGTCTCAAACGGTGTTAGACCAGAGGACGCCAAGAGGCACCAAAAGGCGTCCTCTGGTCTTGTTTTGTTTGCATTCTGACCACAAGTATTGTGGTTAATGCAGACATGATTCATTGTAAAAGGTTTCAGTTTGGTGTTTTAACATCTCAACACTTGCTTTGTTGCCAGAAAAAAGGGGAAAACCTATTCTCATATTTTGGTACTGGCGAAGGAGATCCCATGAAATGATAACGGTGTTTGCATGTTACTGATGAAATAAGTTGATTTAATGCTTTGTCGTACTCTACATTATACTTATTTGTTTCCCATGCCTGCGCTAACTGCCTGCACAAAACCCGCACTGGCCGGCATGGTGAAGTATGGTCAAACTACCCCCCCCCCAAGACCCAAGTGGAGTTGGGAAGCCCTCATCCAGCAGTGGATTAACTAAATAGCTAGACATGTCGGCTTCAATGTGACAGCGATAATACATTTTGATTATTTCTTCTTTGAGTTGAAATATTACTGTTCAATTACAGACACAATAGACAAAATTCGTTGTCATTATATTTTAATATGTAGGGAATATTTCACCGCATACGAAGAAAAAACTAATCAAACAAATCAAGGTTTTTACAAAGCCACTGTGATCCCCTGCACTCGATCCAGTCACATTACGTGGCAAAAGACATTTCAGCCGACTCCGTTTTTTCCGAATTAGCAGCGTGCATAGAACAGCTCATCCTCACCTTGCCAGCTCTGTCGGTCATGGTGATGAGGTACTGTATGTGCTCAATTATAAATAACTGCTTTATTTTCTTATCAATAATATTCATAGCACTCACAATAACATACAATAGATGCGTAATAGTTACAATAACGACTTCCTATTCAATAAATTAATGCAATCTTTGCTAATGTCATCTCCTATCTCCTAATAGGATCCAGTAAATTGTGTACGTCTAATAGTCACAGTGGTTTCCTGCTGAGGCGGTGCTAATCTCCTGTGTACAGCCCTGAGCCCTTGGTAGAAACTGCACATTCCCATGACAGGCACAACATCTCTTCATAGAACAACCACTTGGTAGAAACTGCACATTCCCATGACAGGCACAACATTTCTTCATAGAACAACCACTGTTGCCTTTCCCCACAAGTGGTACTTAATCTTCCCACCCCCAGTGGGATGATGGGCAGATTCAACCCCTCAACAAGAAATGTCACCCGCAACCTCCCGACTGTGAGCCACTCGCTCTGCCGCTGACCTAGTAAACATTGGCCGACGCTCGGCCAATGTCCCATTGTACTGGGGAGCCACTTAGCGGATTGGTCTGTCTTAAGTGGTAAAACATGTAGACCTTCCAAACGCACTAAAATTACTACCATATAACAAAGAAATATAAATGAATACCACATTACAATCGTAGAATTGTCGTCTATGAAATGTTACATTTGCCTCCCAAATCCGGTGACGGTTGCTGTATTCTCACCGGCTGCCTTGTAACTCAGCTCTCCCTTGGAAATTACACCTGTGACCTCGATGGGAGCACTCGCCTGCTTTTAATTAAAAACAGAATGTATAAATATCCCAGTACGGTATAACAATTGTGAAATGTTTTTTTTTGCTCATGTTTAATTTAAATTGTGTTAAATTCGACAGGTTATCAACAAGCAAGAGAGGCGATCGCGGACTACTACACCTGCGCTGAAGCCCCTTTGGAGGCCAGGGTTAGTTGCCCTCCAGTCGCATTCATCACCTTTCATGGTTAAAAGTTATTGCAATTCCAGGTCGTTTATCATGCCATGTTTTAAACATAAGGTAGCTGCAATACCTATATTTAGCACGGATCCTTTCTCTGCGCTTATCCCGATGCTTTAAGCCACATTTTTCGCTCCGCTGCCGCTCAGGGATGTTGGCCCATGTAGGTGACATGGGAGCCAAAAAACGGTGTTCAAACGTGGAGTGAATTTCTTTGGTCCTGCACAGACGAATACACTTTGACCTTTGCCCGACAGCGCCATTGTCATTTAGCCGGTTGGCGGTGGTGGCCATGCACGTGGCCTGTAGTCCAGCACTGTGGAGGCAGTGATGGTTGATGGATCACACCCAGATGTTCTGAAACTCCCCTCCCCGTGGCTGTTGAGCTACCATACCCTGGCTCCCCAGAAGAAGGCAGCATAGCAAGTGCACTGATCGACATCTGTTTACATCTGTGCGGGGATATAGTGTTGCCCTCTTACGTCCATGGGTTTTTGTCCAAGCCCTCTAGTTTCCTCCCACTTGGATAATAAACACTCATTAAATGGTTGAGAACATATTAAAATAAAAGAAAAACTCAATGCAGGACCTGAGTATGGCTCACCTTGATAAATAAGTAAATATATTATATTTATTACTTGATATCATGTCTCACACGTGATATCAAGTATAAAACAAGTCCCTAAAGTGCCAACGGGATTAAGAAGCACATTTGGGCAGAGCACGTCATTACAGGCAGTAGTTCACATGAACTTAAAATCACGAGTTTCCAAGGCAACCAATAAAGGTTAGAGATAAGTGATGAGAGAGATAAAGTGATGAGAGATAAAGTAATGAGAGATAAAGTGATCAGAGAAAAAGTGATGAGAGATAAAGTGTTGAGAGAAAATGTGTGAAGAGATAAAGTGATGAGCTTTATTATTTACCTATTTATTTAACGTAATTCATTCAAAATACAGGTTTCCGTAGGCCAATATCATTATCCGTGAAATTTGCTATTCATGGGCATCTCTGGAACGTATTTCTCGCGAATAACGAGGGAATACGGTAGTAGATATACTGTATATGTCATGTGTAATGACATCATTGTGCGTTTAAAATATATTAAGTATTGTACAAGATTTGAGTTTAGTGAGCTTTCAACCTCGTCTTCAATTGCGATTCAACAAGTGCAGGATTGCGGTGAACTGGCTCTTTGTTATCCTGCACGAGCAGCTTCGTTTTGCAGTTGAGAAAAATTGAGAAATTTCCAGAAACGACTGTAATTGAGTTAGCTCCGTTGTCGAATGAAGGGTTGGGAAACGTGAAGAGTGACTCTCAAACTACATCGCTTGCCTGACACGACCCGAAACCACGCTGCAATGGTGGCCGATTGTTTCATTGAGAGGCGTTGCTTGTAAATATTTTGCGATCCATTTCGTTTTAACGACTAACCATAAGGATACACTTTGCCAAAGTATGCGGAATCCGAAATATAAATATATATTTTACAGTTTAAATGTGTTCGTATAAAAATAAAAGCCAGCATTATGTCGCGATCTCGTAAAAAAAACATGTCTAGCCGTAGACGCACATGAATGTCACAAAGGACGAATTCCGAAGAGATGGAGCAATAAAATTAGCTCCTGTGCGGGCGCCCGGTGGACTGTTGCGCCGACGGATTGCGAGGGATGTCGGCGGTTTGGCAGGCGCCTACATCCAGCAGTGGATTGCCCACTGCGGATGATGTTGATTAACCACCATGGCGAAGCGCAGTTGTGGACAATCTTAACATTCGCGTACGTCGATGTAAATACGCTCGCTCTGTTGTTTGAGAAAGCGTCAGTAAATATGAAGGTCAAATGCCAGACATATCTTAGCTGCTTCGTGGCTGTAAGCTGCTGCTACTGTTTTATGGATAAAAAGGGGAACTATACATATGTTGTGTTTCACTTAACAACCACTCTTGAAGATAGACTTCACCAAAGTATTTAGAGTGGCATCTTAAACATTTTCTTTTACAGTTGCATATGTGCACACAACTAAAACCAGTACGAAGTTATAAACTCGGAAAAACCGATCCAGCCGTACACCCAAATGAACTTCATAAAAGCCGAGAAAGATACGATTTGGTCCCCATAAAGTACCAGTAAACCTTGGTTTAATTTAACTTTCTGGGGATTAGCGGAGGTTGCTAATATTCTTGAGAAGGAAAGGGCATTGCTGAGATGAGACAGAGAAGATGCAATGAGAATGGCTATGGAGATTAGAGACCCATCGACCCTCATACATAGACCCATAGACTCAAACAGAGACCCATTGATTGTAAGGGCTATGGGAGACACCACCAGTGCAGGGCAGAAGGAGCAGAGGAGACCTCTCTACACAGAATAGTTCAAGTTCATTTATTAGGTATAGCCCTGCGAGTCGTTCGGCTCTTGAATCGGGTGCAACCGCAACAAACAAAAAACAAAAACATGAACAAGAAAACATCTTAAAGTGAATATGTGACTAAGTGCAAACAGAAAAACCAAGAAAAGACAGCAAAATATTGCAGAAAAAAACACCGTACACCAACGCTGTGTGCAAAAATCCCAGTGGGATGCAAGTCAAACAACAACAACAACCACACGACAACTTAGATGTTGATGGAAAAATATAATCCGAACAGCCGAGTCCACACAACGGTGGGACTCCTGACTCAAGAGGAGAAGGATGAACTTCCATGGCACGATGTGCGGTCTCTCAGCTGCATCACTTAGCGAGATTGTGTGTGTGCTCTATCAGTGGCGCAGCTATTGAGTGTTCAGGCACTGCAACAGCACAGAGGCCCACGGATCGGAGAGTGCCATGATGATGATAATAATACAGGCGTGCACCAGGACCAGTGTCACCCATGCTATCCCATTGGTGTTACTTAAAGTTTGAATTCTTACAAACTTAAACTGTGGCTATATGGAGTATTGAATTTGCACAATCCATTACAACCTACAAAGCAATATATAAATATATAAGATATATTACAATTATGTTATTTTGCAGCATTTAAAATACATTTAAATTTTGAGTCATATGTTTACAATGTATTAATGCGCAGCTAAAATACATTTATCATGAAGAGGGAAAAGATGATTCCAGTCTCTGTCCACCGACCCCATTCTCCAGTTGCCTTCATCAACATGCTCTGTCTTCATAGCCAGCGCTTGATAAAGTGATGTCATGTGGATAATGGATAGCGAATAGAAAAGGGCATTCTTACAATCAGAACTGGTTTTTGATTTATAGCTTTGTGAGGACGGACGACTACGTGGAGATTTCATTTCTTTTTGTACGTTCAAAGTATCTGAATGCAATGAAGCTAGTGTCGTATTTATATTATTTAAAGCTTTTTATATCTTCCAATTTCTAGTCCAAATGGAAAAAGCACTCCAATTTGTCGTTGTAATGGAAAGCTATTTCGGATAAAACGGTGACTACAAAATACTTAGCATGCTCATAGGATTCCAAATTTTCTAATATTTGGCACTCAATTTAAATTCATAATGATACATTTTATTCTCGTAAATAGGCTTTCAGGACCAAAATTATTATTCATAATCGGTTTCTTTGGGGTTAGATTGTGTAGGTATAATGCCCATTTGAGATATATCCTTCCACTGCTTGACAGAGCCAAACGAATCAAGTGGTCGCATGGACAAATGTGCCAATTGAAAATTCGACAAATATATTTGACATTTCACTGAAGTTTATTACATCCAGCATAATCAGTCGTTCACAAGAGCTCAGATCGCGAGTGATTTGATAGCTGATCTGAAAGTCCTCAAGTAGGTGCCATGGTATCATGACAACAATCGTGCAGGTGACCTGGTTTGATAATTATCAGATGTGATTGCTGATTCATCAACACCAGATGATGCTGGGTGTAATGTCCAAAGAAACATCGTCTACAATGCATCAACAACTTTGCTTGCTTTTCACCGAAACCTGTTTTCTGAAAAAAAACTATATCAATTGGCACATTTGGAGGGATATAGCTCAAATTGGCATTTACGCCTACACAATGTCAGAGGACCTGTAGAGAAATCCACACGGCCACGAGGAGATAAAACATGCAAACTCCACATACACAGCAGGCATTAGGGTCATGATGGAACCCGCAACCTCCTGCGCACCAGGCGAGGGAGTCGACGTGTCGCCACCGAGGCGCCCGACACAACGAGTGACGGTCCCTCCGGTCTCGCGCAGGACGTCATCCTCGGCAGTGGCTGCAGCCAGGCCATCGAGATGGCGATCACCGTGCTGGCCAATCCCGGAGACAACATTCTGGTCCCCCGACCCGGCTTCTCGCTCTACAAGACGCTGGCCACCTCGCACGGAATTCACGTCAAGCACTACGAGCTGCTGGTCAGTGTGCGTCAACAACCCTGCGGCATGACCTTGGAGGGGCTGGGAAGGGGGAGGCATAACAAGGGGCGGTGGGTGGGGGGGGGCATGACACAGTCAATGTCAAGCAAACTTTTGACCCGTGAGATTTATAAATGGGTGAGCCGTTCGTCACGCACGTCCCACATACCGCTAACCCGACGGGAAACACAAAATAACGTGGAGGAAAACAGCAGCAGGTATCATCTCTCTCTTCACCTCGTGTGCACCCACGGGTTTAGATCCCCTCCCCCCACCCTCTCACACACACAGACACAGACGGACCTGCTTCCACTTGCTACCGCGACTCCGGTTCTTGTATCATAAGGAAAATATAGGAAATAACTTTACTCGATGGCCATAGATGACATGCAAACACAATGGAAACGCAATGTATGAGATATACACCTTTACTCTGTTTCTCACGTATTAAGTATTGACAAATATAATTGTAAAAATGCCATTCTTGCATTTGACGGCAATGCGTTTGGGAGCCAAATGCCAACGTCGAGGAGCTCTGCCAACCACAACGAGAGGGCTTCAGGAGAGAATTCGTGACAATTACTTGGGAAGGGCGCTGAGCCCCAACGCGGTGACACCGTGGGTCAAGGTTCCCCGCGCTGGCCACTCAGTGGCCCTGGGTTCACTGGGCACCCCGTGCGTGGGGGGGGGGCGTTAATCATTTACTGCGTGACCCCCGTGAATGTAAACCTGCCGCCTATAGCAACAAGCGCCAGGCACGGGTCGTCGTGGCGGGTTTTTTTTTGTTCACATTCAGAAGCGATAGACGTGGATTTAACAACAACCTGTTTTCTTGCTTGAGGCAATTGGTGTAGCCCGGTCGGTATTAGCCCAAGTGCAAGCAATGAAAAGTGCCACTCCCTGTCCGATCTGCCGCTTTTTCTCCAGTACCCTGGGGCAGTTGCACAATTCACAGCCACACCACACTGCTGGAATAATTTGGTTAGGGTGTTCTTTTATTGTTTTAAAAACAGCATCGAACACCACTGAAAGAGTTCGCTGTTCCAGAGTTGTGAATGTTAACTGCAGCTGGTGAAAATGTGGAAAACGCACAAGTTTATTTGGACAGAATCAATAATTAAGATTTAAAAAAATAAGACTAATATTGTGGAGCGACATGTTAGTGCACTGCACTCTAAACCTGCCCAGTAAGCGTGCCAACGTTGGAACCGTTACAAAAACGTTGGCCCAACATTCCACGTCGATTGGGTGGTGACAAAAGTTCGCTTCCCAGGCAGGTCGAGCGTACTAGCGAGTGATATCTGAACGGGTCTTGCCTCCCCGCATTCACCAAACCACACTGGCCAGCGTGACGAAGTATGGTCAAACAGCCTGGATGGGCAACATGACATGGGAAGGCCTTTATCCAATCGTCTATTGACAAGGGCTGTACATTATTAGTGGCAATTCAGCACACACGTACACACCCTTATATGTTCTTATTGCACACGATCTCATTGCACACGATTCCTATGGATAATGTTTGGGAAAATTTCACAACCGCATAGTGGAGTTGAAAGGGTCTCTCCCACACTCCCTTCATTATATGACTAAAAGCGATACATTGCACGTTGTTGTTTTCTAGGCGCTGAAGATTGGACATTTGAGAGTCCGTGATCTTTCCCATTCTCCAGTTTTCCAGGTCCTAGCAATGGGCGAGTGGCCGCTAGCCACTGGCTCGCGAGGATGGGTGGGTGTGTCGCTCGGAGCCAATGGAGAGAGTCCCAGTGTCGACGTTACACATGGCATGTTGGCTCATGCCGTATCGCGTTTCTGGAAATGTTTTGAGTAGTGTCCTAATACAACTGGCGCCTCTGCCCAAATATTATAAAACAACAATTTTACCCAAATGTCCCCATGCTGTTATCAATAAAGATAAGGGTGCAGCCCTGCAACTTCCTTTCCACGCTTCTGCTGGCGGAAGGACCTCCACTAGACGGAACTCTAAAGAAGCCCCTCCCCATAGAGGAGGGTATTTGGTCTACTCTTCCACGTTCGCCTGACATTGTGTAAAAGAGATGGAAATACCCCCACACATGATCCTGCCACACGCAACCTGCCAATCCACTAACGACTGGCGTATGTATGTGCACCGTCATGCATGTTGTTTTTAATCCTATTGTAAAATAATTGCGAGGTCAAAAGTGATTGAGTCTTCTTTCATTAGTTTGCACACACACGCGTGGGAGCAACTCACGTGACCTGTACTTGAAAACAAATGAAGTTCGCTGACCTGTTGTGCTCCGTGTTCTCAGGCAAGCAACGGTGAACGTTTTCGCTAAGCAGGTTACAATAAAACAATACATAATGTGGACACCGTGATATTTAACGAAGCTAATTTTACGGGACCACAATATTATTTTAAAATACACAATGTTTATTTTTAACATGTATTGTTCCCCAATTTGGAATGATGGTCCAAGGACAGCGCGTATAAAGCAATCATTGGCTCATCCCAGTGCATTTTTACAGCTTTACTGCATTTAAAATTTACGATAAAACCAGGAAAACGTCGCTTACGGCTAAAGATTTCCATTCCCAGCATTTGATTTAACGCAGACATAACACGCGCCAGCGTCATTTGTTTTCTCTGTCGTGTTTTTCCTGCTATACATCAGCCCCTGCACGAGACCTAAAACTGACACAAGTTTGTCCGAGTAAAAATTAATGAGGTAACTTGGCAGGATTATTACACCGTAATGTACTGACCACTCACGATGGACATCAACTCTAAACCACCCGACACAACGAACCCGGTGTATAAACTCTGGATGTTGCTTCTGAAGATGGCTGCTGAAAAAGCTAACAGATCAAATGTTCTTGCTTAAAAGAGGCAGCGTGGGAACAAAAACGTTTAACACGAACAGTCAAATGTTGTGTACATCAACCATGGGTTTTTTCAGGCACAGATTTTTCAGGAAATCTTTTAAAGCACACTCTTCCCCCTGTTGTCAAACATCGTGTTTAATTACGATGCCACTTGTTTCGTAATGGCGTCCGAGTTTTATACGACAAGAATACGATATTTCACCCAGCGAGTGTAATTATCAGCGTACAGGCGCCAAAGATCTGGGTGTTGTGTACATGTTTACAGATACTCATAATGAAGGAATAAGGGGCATCATTTCACACGGGCATCACTTCTTTACATCACAATCAGAATCTTTATTTATCCTGGACAAATCACCTAATCTTGTCTCTACACTGAATCGATACATCTAATGCTGGTTTTATATGTATTTCCTGCAATAGAAAATTAATTGTGTCATTCCGTCCGATAGTTAATATTTGCTGCCATCTTGGAAATACCCAGAATGCTTTGGATAGCTGTAAATCACTTGACACAGGGATTACCAGATGTTACCCCTACCACTCCACACAATTTCAGCAATGACTTACAGTAAAAATATTTTACAAATAACTGTTCCATAAAGTGCAGTCTATTATTCAAGCACCTTCAGACGTGGTTTTATTCCGGGATGAAGGACGTATCAAGCTGTGTCAATCATGGGGGTTGTTTCACCATACCTCCCCACGCTGGTCAGTGCGAGTTAGTGAAGATAGATTAGCCTAGGGTCAGGTCAGATATCATTCGAGGATGTTGTAAATTTTGGCTGCGAATTGAACTCAGCTCGTAATATTACATAAGCAACCTTACATAAGTCTTCATAGCAACCAGTGGGTGAGGGGCGGGGGAGGCAGAACCAGTTCAGATTCAACTCACCACTGACGTTAGCCGTGGCCGAGAATCAAACTCAGGTCACCTGGTTTGTGATTCAGTATGCTAACCGCTGTGCCACCACTCCACCCTGGCCCACCCCTCCCCCCACCAATTTGTCTGCAGCCGGACCAGTGCTGGGAGATCGACCTGGAGCACATGGAGTCGCTGGTGGACGCGCGCACGGCCTGTGTGGTGGTGAACAACCCGTCCAACCCGTGCGGCTCCGTCTTCAACCGCGAGCACATCCTCGACATCCTGGCCGGTGAGTCCCCGCGGGCACCGCTCCTCGTCATCGACATTCACCAACCGCACCGCGCCTCCTCCCTGGCGAGAAACCTTGTCGGTGAGGAGGTGGCACATGCTGCCGAGCGGTGGCAGCTGCATACCATTGATCAAAATTGCTTTGCCAGGTCTTTTAAAGTAATTAATCCATTAGTGGGCAAGCTTCAGCTGCCTCGATCCCTGTTCCCACCTTTCAAGTCAACTGACAACGTCTGAAAAGAATCTCGAACGAGCTTACAGAATGCCAGATATTACAACGTGCTAACAATCATAGCCGTGGCGGCATCTCCACCCATGATTACATTCTACACAAAACCACACAAAGCAGAAACGTGCCTTTTGAAATGCTGCACCATATAGTGGATGAGCTGCAAGTGGCAGCTCGTCTATTATATGAATTTAAAAATAAAGTGTCCACATGCTCTTCGGGCGCGTTTTACATAAAAGCCAATTGTTGTATTGCTACCGGATGGCACACGAATGTTGCACTCGGGGCAAGAATAATTTGTAGATCAAGGCAATGCCGTTAATAATAAAGTATTTACATAAAGTGCGTGAATTATTAAATAGATACAGAAAGAGTCATGGCTTCCCCTATCCCACACAACCAAAGCCAATAGTGCAGTGAACCCCGCATTACAAAGGCGTTTGAGTTCCATACAAATGTGATGGTTTCTTAGAGAACCTGGATTTTCCTTACATTGCTTATTTTATCAATTAAGTTACGTAAAGAGGGCACTTGATGGCCATAATATATTCAGAACTTCCAAGTTGTTTACCATTTCCTTTGATTAAATTCCTAGCATCCTTGGCATGCACACGTCTCTATTCCCATGTCAGAAGCTTCAGATTAAATAATTCACTGTGTAACAAAAACATATATGCTTTTTTTGTTCCTGGGTAGTAAGTGTTATTTCCCAATTGCTTATGCCTCAAATGTACAGAAAATGACCAGGACAGTGATATTTTGAAATTTACCTATTTTCCATGGGAAAACGTGGTGTGCGTTTGTGTCATTCCTTCACATGAAGTCCTGGTCAGAAAAGCAAAGTTTGTGGGGAATAATAGCCATTTTCTATACTTTTGAGGCATAAGCAATTGCAAAATAACACTTACTACCCATCGTGTTACATAGCGATCATCATCGTTGCTGAATTTACATGGTTAATTATTCAAGATAATAATGCAAATCTTTTGTAATTTGCTTTTTTTTCAGTTGCTGAAAAGAACAGGGTCCCTATCCTCGCAGATGAGATATATGGAGATATGGTATGAGATGCAATCTACAAGACATGTAATCCACAAAAGTGGCATCATAAAATAATAATGGAGAAAAATATTCATCCACATAGCTTAAATAATGGCATAAGTAGGTCAGCTAATTTAACATCTGTGTTGCTGCTGTTAGAGTACTTGCAATACCACAATTGTATAGCCATACTGCGATTGCGTCATTCTGAGATTACATTCGGTGTGGATAGGTGGCACAGCAAATTCTCTCACCGCGCCACGAACTTAGCAACCTTCATTCGATTAGGGCGCCGCAGTGGCAAGATGTTAACTACCTCGCCTGGCATACAGGAAGTCGTGAATTCGATACCGGCCCTGACGCCTGTTGTATATTCTCCCTGTGGTCGCGTAGATTTTTCTCCAGGTCTTCAGTTTTTCCTTCCACATTTAGAAACATGAGTTTAGAGTATTTGGCTGTTGTAAATTTTCACGTGATAAGCCACTTTGTTGAGCTATCATTTGTGGCCAGGTCGCTTCTGAAAAAGAGCATTATATCTCAGTCGGCCTTACCTGGTAAAATAAAAACACGTAATAGTTTAGTTTGAAATAGTTTTTAATTTTCGATTACCGGCCACGAGCAAATGATTTTCACCGATCCACACTGAGACCAACAACCCGCCCTGACCGACACTGTGTGGGGGATGGGAGGCCTCCATTCAGCAGTGGATTGACAACAGGCGACACGTGACGTGTTTAGAAGCAGACCCGTGCGTGACACGGCGCTTCAGGGTTAAGCTGCACTTCTTGTTCGAGATCATTGTGACGAGGATGACAGCTTGCCGCTGAAATGTTGTCACAACGGTATTGGCAAAATCCGACAACTACTCCACGTTGTGACACCGTGGCCGCTCCAAACTGTCCCAATTATTGGCAAAATGGCAGTGAATAGCTTGTTGGGTGCTCACAGACAGGCATTGTGAGAGTCACTTAGCGCAGACTCATAGTGCTATTGCATTGCAGTAGAGGTCACAATAAGTGCATTGAGGAAGTGCCAGATCCTGCGTGGACTCTCCAAGCACTCAATAAACATCCACGCAACGTCTGCACCTTCAACTGGCTCTTGCTCTGTCGCCGACAGAAACTCGGCAGCAAGCGCCACGGCAAGGCCTGCGGGGCTTGAGCTAGCGCCACACAGTGCATCGTTCACATCTCCGGCATGCGTCGCTGAATCGGTTTTGTTTTTTACAAACGAATGAACAATTGACAGATAGTACTTCTTAGTGAAGAATAAATATCAATCGAATTGCGATTACAATCATTCTTAGTTTTAGATTGTAATTGCATTGTAATCATGAGGCTACAATTAACTTATTTCTTGCTATTTGAGACCTTTCTATCTCTATGACCGGCCTTCTCAATTTGGTTTTTCACAATAGCGCAATGCTTATAATTTTTGTAATGTGGATTATGTTTGCATTAGTAATTTGTTATCTTGTTTATATCGTGTTTGAATGTTATTTTTCTCACACTGTTCGCCTCAATGTAACATAATTACACCCTAATATATGTCTAGCCTGAATAGGTGCTTGCTAACCACACTTGCTCTAGCAGCCTGTATGGCAATATGGGGAGCGGCCTTAATAGGTGCTCGCTAACAGAACTTGTCCTGACAGCCTCTATAGCTATATGGGAGATGATTGTCTTTGTATTCTGAAAGACAACAAAATTTACATGTAAGGCGGCATACTTCTGTGTGCATGTGTGTGCACCTTCTCTGATGCCACGCAGCGGTGCTGGAGCGGTTAGTGCACCGCGCTACAAACCCGGCGACCTGAGTTCGATCACGCTCAAAACGAGTACCTGGTGCGGTGTGTAAACATCAGGGTTCGGGAGACAAAGGCGGCCGGGCGTGGTGCTGGCTTTCAAAGGTGCTGCTCGCTAACAGCACTTGCTGCCACCAGTTTGTTCTCAAGGCCATATGGGGGCTCTTTGTCTTTGTGCGATGCCGCGCAGGTGTTCCCCGGGCATCAGTACCATGCCATGGCGCCACTGACGAGCGAGGTGCCCATCCTTGCGTGCGGGGGGTTGGCGAAGCGCTGGCTGGTACCCGGCTGGCGGATGGGCTGGGTCTTCATCCACGACCGCCACCAGATCTTCGGACCAAATGTAAGGCCAGAACTTCCAACGCAATTATGTGTGCGGTAATGTAATTAGAGCATCGTCATGGAATAAAATATCTTTCTCTATGTATATGTAACAGTACACACTGCAGTCAATATCGTCGTCGTCGTCGTTGTTGTTGCTGTTGTTACCAGCCATTAAATATCCACTTGCAAGACCTTAAGATATGGCAATGGCTTGAGAAAGCCTTCATCCACCAGTGGATAGATTATGGGTTATTCATGGATTATGCAGAGCATACATTTCTCATTATTCGAATAATAGTTTGATATATTACCTGCGATATGGGTCACTTATCTGAACCAATACATCATATATCTTCATCAATATATCAAACTAATCTTGAATAACGGTACATTCATGTAGTACTGTATAATCAGTGTATCTTGTTTAACATTTACTGCAAGTGTCCTTTCAAAAATCAACAAAATGACGTGCTCTTTCTTTAAAGACTGCCAACAAAGACTCTGACATTTCCTTCCCAGCTACACATCTAATTTACAAATGTATTAATAGTGTTATCGGTTGCATTTATATATTTTATTCTGTGATTAATCAATTTTATTAGCGTATTCCCGCCGAGGTGTGATAACTCATTTGCAGTTCAATGCCATAGCAGCATTGGGTCACACACACCCCACTGCAAAGACGATAGAACGTAAGCACAGATTCAAAACAAATCTGAGTAAAAGCTATAACCCATTAACGTGAATTACCATGCATCCTTTAAACTCATTGAAGATTTTTTTTTTTTTAGGAACTGACACTTGGCATGAAAAGTGGGAACAAGAATTAATATTGCTTGAGCGTGGCAATTATAATTAGGGCATTTACACACATACGCAAATGCTGTCGTATGTATGTTGAACTTCTTTCGCACCGTACGTAGTTAACGTGCTAATTGGAGGTGTGTAATGGTTAGCAAGCTGGATGTACAATCCAGAGCTCTGCGGTTCGAATCCAGCTGCCAATGGGGCCAGTTTTAAATAATGGTGCAAGATTCTTCACCCTCACCCCACCAGCTTGTGTCCACGCAGTGGTGTAAATGATAAATCACAGGCAGTAGATCGGAAAGGTCACATGTCATGGAGTAAATTGTGGAGATTCCCACCTCTTGTGGTGCATCTGGCCAGTGTGGAAGAGCAAAATACCTTTAGAAAAACGATCAACTATTTTACCAGGTCAGGCCCACTGAGCTAAATGGCTCTTTATTAGAAACGACCTGGCCACAAATGATAGCCCAACGAAGTAGCTTATCATGTGGAAATGTAAATGAGCCAAATACTCTCAACGCGTGTTTCTAAATCTGGAGAGAAGCTCCGAAGAACCCGGAGAAGAATCCACGTGACCACGGGGAGAGAGACATGCAAACTCCAAATATACAGCAGGCGTCAGGGTCAGTATTCAACCCACGATCCTCCTGTATACCAGGCGAGAGAATTGACATCTTGGCAGCAGTGCCGTGAGAAAGCAATTGTGAGGCTGCAACTTTGCCCTCGTCCTTTTAAACACAGATACGCGACGGACTGTTGCGGCTCAGCCAGAAGATTCTGGGACCCTCCACAGTGATCCAGGGAGCAATGAAGCGGATCCTGAACCACACTCCCAGCGACTTCTACCAGAGAACTGTGGAGTTCATCCGGGTGCGTCATGGGCCCTGACCCATGTGGCAGTTCACGCCCTCTGCATGAATGTAACCCAGCAACTCTGCTTGATTGCTGACCATGCATTGGTTGTTAATGCGTGTGTCTGCGTGTGACCGTGTGTGTGGGGAGTGGCCTCAGAGTACCTTGAGTCTCCCACAAGCGTGGTGTTGATGTCACTGGCACTTCGTGGCAAAAAGTGGACGTTGTTGTGGGGGACACTGCTGTAGCGGTTGGTGGACTGTGATACAAACCCGAATTCTTGAGTTTGATTCCTGGTCACGGCCAACATAAGCAGCAAATATTTAGACTAGTCCTGGGCCTCCCTTAAGCTGATTTAGTTAAAAATAAGTACAGAGTGTCATTTGTCAACGTGAGTAGGGTAGAGACACGGGTGGCCGTGCGTGGTTCTGGTCACACCGCTCGTCTCGTGCCAGCCTTCGTAGTTGCTCACTAACGGCACTCGCCCCAACAGCCTGGAACATGCTACGGCATCTTTGTGGGTCATTCGTTATTTTTCTGTTAACATTTTACCATATTGAGCTACACTTAACAGCCATGCAAGCAGGCCTTACACACTCTCTGTTGAGCAGATTTGCTTATTGCATAAGTGATATTTAATACAAATTGCATTCACAACAGCTCCGTTTTGAAGTTGACCCTCTTGGACTTTTTGTAAATCTTCAAATTAGTAGCTGCAGGGACAGCTTCTCGAGGCTGGAATGCATGTTGTTCGACACTTCGCAACACTTTGTGATTTAGGCTAAAGTCTAAACGGGCAAGGTTTTCGCACTCATTCTGAATAGCTATCCAATGGCTTCTTGATGCAACCAATCGGTACAACTCAAAAACCCATTGGAGGGCTTTAAAAATATATACATTATTTTATCATGTATTGCGTCATTCATATAAATTTCATCACAAAACACTGCAGAATTTGTACCGTGCAATTTTTCAGGATCTGCGGTCCTTTATTATCATCACGTTTGACCAATTCTAAATAAATGAGTGTTTCTACACGTGGAAGGCCAAACTGGTCAACGCCACTGGATCGCAGAACTTTGCATGCCTTTTGTCGGTGACTCCGCTTGGGGTTGACACTTTTTTTTTAAATGTTCATAACAAACACTTGCTTTTCATAGTTTAGGTGCACCTGGGTATTTTTGTCAACTCAGGAGATTTAAATAGAATACGGTGAGACGCGCGACAGATCCTGTGCCCACATGGTCGTACCTCTCGAAGGGTTTCGCTCAAACCCTTTGGCGGCTGACACAGGGAACTGGTGAGGCATCCGCACTTCAACCTGACGTCAAGACGCTTCTCGCTCTTCCCACAGGACAATGCCGAGTATTGCTACAACACCCTAACCGCAGTCCCTGGTCTCAAGCCGGTCATGCCGTGTGGAGCAATGTACATGATGGTCAGTAACACAGTGCAAACAATGAATCATCATGAAACAAAGCATGATATTCGACATAACACACGGTGGTGCTATCTTTTCCTACTTTAATACATTCATTTGGCGAGACCACAATTATCATGATTTATTTTAAATATCAATTAAACACCCAGACAAGGGCTTCCGGTTTCACAACGTTGAGGCGCAGTTGTTGCGCTATGAACTCTTGTCACCTCAGTGTGATTCCTGGCCACAGGCAAACATCAGCGGTGAGTGATTTCTGAAACGGTTATCAGCATCCCCCCACCTTTATCAACACGCACTCACCGGTTTGCTCACAACGGTCACACATTGGCCGATGAGCCGAGCCGCCTGAGTTTGATTCCTGGCCATGGCTCGCGCCATGCGGCTCTTTCAGGACTGCTCCGTGATGTTATTTATCAAGGACCACCATCTCATACTCACATGCATTGCAGGTCTGGAAGTATTGAGGGGTTTTTTTACCAATTTCTAAAAAAAAGGCTCTTCTTGTCAATTTGGTTTCAGACCCCTGCCCATGACCAACATAGCGTGGGGAGGGCTTCATCTAGCAGTGGATTGACACAAAGTTGTGAATACAGTGACATGGACCTGCTCGGAGAGGTGCCAAGGGTCGTCCTTGCGTCTGTTCCAGGCTTCATCTGAACAAAATATTTAGTTTCAGAGAGTTTCGTGTTTTTGTTAATTCTGATTTTTCAGTGTGACTCTCTGCTTAATCGCTCAGGTTGGAATACAGATGGATAAGTTTCCCGAATGTAAGGACGACGTGCAGTTCACCCAGAGACTCGTAACGGACCAATCGGTCTTCTGCCTCCCGGCCAAGGTGAGTGTAACCGTCACGCATGACTCACTCTTACTGAACACTTAACTCAGCGCGATATTGATTATGAGGAAGATGGCCAAAAAAATGAATCACATTAAATTGTTGCCAATCCTTGCGATAGCTTATGAAAAGATAATTTCATGGCCACTATAATTTACTGGGGTTCAATCCACTCCTCCTATCACAAGACAGTGTACTTACTTACAATGTGCCAGCACCATATCGAATTCCAATGTCACATAATTAAGCCATCAATATCTTTTGTTGTCCACTGGATTGTGATCTTTGCTACGTGTAAAGCATGATATAATAAATGGGCACTTGTACTAAGATATTTTAGTACAAAATATAATTTGATGTGGAAAGTTCCATCTTGTCCAAAACGAATTGAAAGACATTTCTAATTCTATTCAGGCACAAATTGGTTGTGATAACATTGCTTGCGAACATACATTAATGTGTGCTTGGCGGCTGTGACAAAACATAAAAAAACATCACTCGGTTATTTTGTTCACAAATACGGAAAGGAAATTTTGATTGAAATGTTTGCTATCTTTGATATTGTTTCGTGTTGAAGTATATTTTTTCAAGATGTTTTAGCATTTTTGGCGATTAAGTGACTTGTACATTGAGTTGCTGCGTGTGTGCGCATCTCAGCCATGTTTCTCTCCCAGCTCTTCCTCGTTAGAGAAACGCGTTGTTCCGGCGGAGTTTTACATAGACGGCACTGCTCAGGCACACTTACTCTCCCTGCCATACAGATCATGATCTATGCTGATACAGCACACAGTCTGCACTTGTAGTGGTCTCCGTGCCTTTAGAACCATCCGTGACAAAAAACAAACACAGCACAAATCTGGGCGTGGGATGGTTTCTCCATTCCGCTGTGAGGAAAAGAGCAGCGTTGCTATTATTTGAAGTAATTTCTCATGGAACAAAAATCAACTCCATTGCACATTGATGCTCGAGGCAATGCCGTGGCTATCGAATGTCCAGGCGATGCCACAGCACGGGGGCCCATGGGCCGCAGGTTCTGGGCTACGGAGATCGGCGGTGGAGGGAATTGGAAAGGGGCCTTCCATTTCATTCCCAGCACCAGGGCCCCGTGCCACTTTGTTTCAGCTTCTTGGAGCATTGTACTGCGGTACGTCTAATACGTCAGAGCAGATGAGCAGAATTGAGCTATTAAATTCTAACTAGCAGGAACCCGTGGAGCTTGGGCGGTGAAAGGATGGCGAATGTGTACGTTTTATCATCATTCCCTCTCCTACGCCTCACCCACGTCATAAATCACTCTGTATATATATAGTTCGGTCCCTCTACGCTGATGATTTCAATTACTTAACAGTCTGGAGTATGTTGTGAACAGAGCCATAGCTGGGCATTTTGGCTGCCGGGGCAAGGTGCCATCTTCGCGAGGCACTGCCCCACCAAAATACTTGAGCCACCACTGTGATGCTTCGTTGCTCCTTCTCCAACGATTCGGCTCCAAATGCAGGCAGCAGATTCCCTCGGGATGGGCAGTAGGGGTGGCCGCTCCACCCGCCCTGCCGTTGCTACGGCACTGGTGAAGGAGCACCGTTTAAAGTGATTTTTTTCTACACCAATGTTTGACGTTTCAGTGCTTCGAGTACCCCAACTATTTCCGCGTGGTGCTGACCGTGCCCCGCGAGATGCTGGAGGAGGCGTGCATGCGCATCCAAGATTTCTGCGCGAAGAACTACATCGGCACGCAGCCATAGTGCCCTGGTGATAGCAACAACGTCACCCGCCATTCACCACTGAGTGGCTGTGATGCACCTGAACCAGGGCAGGTCCACTTTGAAGCCACGTGACGTGATAGCATCACTCGAATCACTCGCACTGACACCCAGTGCTCAATTTCAGCCAAAAACTGCCTGGAGCCTGTCCCAGGAATTAGTTTGGAATTATTATTTTTGGGCTATTATTTTTCGTTTTAAACATTTTCATTGGATTATGTATGGTACAATAGAGGTACATGATTATGAATAGGCGTACCTTGCACACTAGTGGTGAACCTTTATTTCAATAAGTCCTACCTCCTAATAGGACTAGCAGCTTTCCAGAAAATATCGAGTCTAGAATGAAGCTCTTGGTAACACCACTGCACAGTGTTTTCGTGGTTGTGTTCTATAGCTTTGCGATGGATTTTAAGGGTTGCACTGCGTGTTGCTTTGGCGCGATTACGAATGCAAACTTCGGACTTCGTGCCGAACAATACGCACAACAACCAGAAAACACAGCCAAGAGCTCTCTCTTATGTTCAATTAACCTTTCTATTGTGTGTTCAACTAACCTTTGTATTGTGTGTTTGTGGAAAAATTGCAAGCAATTTATTTTCCATTCTTTGTCAGATTGTGATTTTTTTTTATTGCTATGGTTGGTATCATTATTTATGCAGGGTTCTTTTTCTAAACCATTAACATTTTTAACACGTTTTACCGCACGGGATTTTAACATTTTATGCCTACGTAAATAGAAGCATCCGACAATACTCCACGCACCATGCACTTACAGCGCTGTCCACGGCAGTTGCTCCCAAGTTCAAGTTAATTTTGTTGAACCACGTGAGAACTCAAAGATGTCAGCATGAGTCTCCTTTGCAATTGTGACACGTTTATTTGCGGTCACGTGCTCAATCGAAACCGTGTGAGAAAAAAATTACTTTGCTGAAATGTGCATGAAAGTGGCACCAGTTAATATTTTATATTCCTTTAAAACCATACACAGTCGATTGCTTTCCAGACTCGTGACAGACATGAAGACTGCACTGCCCCCAAGAGGAACACATTTGCAAATGGTATCACATTTTCCATTTGATAATACAAAACTATTTCCCGCAATGTTTGACATCTGTGCTATCGCAGACATGTGATGAGACGAATTATCTATTCACAAATCTTGCTCGTGGACTGATCTGAGATTTCTGAATATTCAGATGTCTGGTCAGACTGTGAGATTTCTGAATGTTCCAAAATAGATTATTCAGAAATCTCACTAATGTCGTGCTCTGTGATCTTTCTGACTATTCAGACATCTAATTAGAAATCTCACCGCGTTGCATCAGTCTGTCTGATAACAGTCTGCGGAAAAATCACTTCCCAGGGCCTTTCTCAAATATTTATTTAAGCAGATGCATTGTCTTTTAAACAGTCGAGTATGCACACTCTACTACGATATTTCTTTCACATGCAAGTCCAACTTTTACACTTATTTCTCAGAGCTTACATTTCGCCAAATTAAATTCCAAGCTAATCTAATAAAAATGTATCTTCTCTTGTGAAGTAAATTTTGACAAGTGCAAGACCATCACATCACTGAATAAGTCATTATTTCCCTTCCCACTCTGAAAATCATATACAATGTCAATATTACACACCAGAGGTGGGACAAAGTCATTGTTATGCAAGTCCAAGTCGAGTCTGAAGTCATCAAATTCATGACTCGAGTCTGACTCGAGTCCAAGTCACATGACTCGAGTCCACACCTCTGTTACACACTGGTTTCATTGATTCACGTTAATCCAGATCACCCCTTTTGTATCTTTACTGTTTACAAAACGTGCCAAATATTATGCACAAAAAGCTTTGCCGAGTCTTACGACTCATATCCAGGAGGGTCCTGCCAAGTTTTCGCAGTAGCGGGAGATGATTGCTATGTGTAGGAGGCGCCGCGGTGAGATGATCGTGGGTTTCATCTCGATCCCTTACGATGCCTGCTGCTGTATATTTGGAGTTGGCGTAGTCTCTCTCTCTCTCCGCGTGGCCGCGTGGATTTTTCTCCAGGTCCTCTAGTTTTGCCCCCAACTTTATTTGACGACTATAATTCCCACGTGTGACGAAACGAGCTAGTACGTGTGGCAAGGTCGCCGATGAAAACGAGTTAACAGCTCAGTGGGCTTTACCTGGAAATAAAAGTAATTTAGTTTAAGTTGTACGTATAATCCCAATCGAGTAATATTTCACATTTGGCAAACTTGGCCCATGGAGTCGACACACGAAATCTTTAACTTCCACTGTGCAGCAGACAGCGCTAATGTGTACTGCTAATGCAACCGCAGTAACAACAAGCCGGCCGGAGTATGAATGCTGTTCACTGAGTGTCATTACGAAGTTAGAGAGGGAACTCGGCTTATTCAAATCCAAGTTAATCATGTAAGTTGACTAATTTTCCAAAATGTTAATTGTTTCACTTTAACGGCCGACAGTGGCCTCGCGTGCCGTGATTTATGCATTACTTATTATAGCTTTGATTGTATACAATTCATCATGTCTTATTTTAAGTTAATACGTATTCACTGTATCCCAAATGTATTTATTTGACAAAATATAAAGGGCATATGCATTTTTTATCCTCTTCACGAATGGGTTCACGTTTCTTGATCAAAAGGATGTGTTTATACTTCATCGTGCTACTGACTTTCAAACAACTTTTAATCAAATTAAATGGCACATTCAAATAAAAAGTTAATTCGAAACCCAGTAACCATCTTTAGAACTGCTAGATAAGCAGACGATATGTCTCTGTCATTCACTGCGTGTCTCTCCACACACACTTGACTTGAAAAAGAGCTGCATCGCTTAATGAGTAATCTACTTCCTATTCGGATTTTTGTAAACTTTTTTTGTGTGCAAACCTATCGACCCCCCACGGCCTTTTGGGAGTATTTCAGTATCTGCTGATGAGAGACTGTGTGCCGAAACCGATCCAGACTTTGCATGTGCTGAATGAATGCTGCTGAAATGACGCCCTCCCAGAAGGCGGTGTGGGTGACTGCTGTGTTCTCGTGCGAAGAGACGCGCACTCGTTTGTTCATTAAGAGTTGTCTACAAGGACGCGAATGATTGTTTTGTGTTCTGTATCCTTCAAAGCAGAACTTCACAAATCCCAAAGCAGGCTTCACACTCACTCGCATCACCGCTGTCCACGTGTTGCATCGTCCTTCTCTCCATTCAAATGCAAATCGGGTCACTGCACATTACACACACCTAATGATTGGTAAGAAATACATGAACGCCGCGGTGTGAGAGCACTGAGCGTGAAGCAGGCCGATTAGCGAATACTTCTCGAAGAATGACAGCCGTTACACGAACATTTAAAGTCGTCGTTCAGCGTTGGCTGCCCTGTGCCTCACTTCCCTGGCCCCGTCTCAGTCAATGGGGGTTGTGTGACGCCAATTGGAGGTTGTGTGACGCCAATTGGAGGTTGTGTGACGCCAATTGGAGGTTGTGTGACGCCAATTGGAGGTTGTGTGACGCCAAAACTTTCACCGCGATGGGCAGTGCGGTCTTGTGATGAATAAGTTAGGGAGTTGGGGGCCAAGGCCGCGTCGGATATCATTCGCCGCCGTGGCCAGGAATCGAACTCAGGTCGGCTCGTGTTAATAGCAAAGTGCGCTAACCACTGCGCCACCACCCACCACCGCCTTAGGTCACGTGCTCACATCTCGTCTGTAGCAATGCTTAACTATACAATGTAATGCACGTACATTTATATGACCAGCGGGAAACAACATTGAGCTATTACCGAAGATGATATCACCGTGATGGTATCAATGTACTGTTTTGTCCAAATGTAAGTGAACATTTTCGACGTGCGTGTCAACAGTGAACACGTGTGCAATCGCGCTGCACACCTGGCTGCCCACACCCAGGTGAATGGTGCAACAGTCTTCTTCCATCCACGTCCAACATATCCGACCTTATCACGTATCTGCCGATACCTCAGTCCTGACCAAGCCAAATAATGGTCGTGCTTATTTTGATTAAAAGTGTAACTTTCATTCCCCTACAAGTGATCCATTTTAAATCAGACGGTTATTACCATCAATCTCATGTCAATGCAATGGGGTCTTCAAAAGACTCACTGTGTACATTTGTTTGCGTGACAACGATGTTGAGTCTCCACGACGCTTTCAGGTGCCAATGTGTCTCCAGCAATGGGCTGCTATATATCTTTTGCCATTTGTCGATAGCATTGCTTTATAGTACATTGAGATCGTCTCACAATGTATTTTGACTAGACGGCATATTAATGACACGGTTATAAGTACATTGTGGTATAGCTGCGCATATCAGGGAAAATATCTGGGAATGTACCATATTTTAGTGATTTTGGTGTGTTAATATGTGTTGATATGTACTCATTAATTACACCTGTGGTTTTTTGAGATTCATGAAATAGTTTTGGAATGTTTATCAAATTAGCCAGGGCAACAATGATATACCTCATTTAAAACCTCACACGCGTTATACAACTGAAGTGAAATGTTGCTGACTTGCATAAACACAAATTAAACATGTCTTAAAATCAGTGATCTTGTATGTTTGTTTTTAATGAACTTAACTATTGTTATCGATTATAAAGGTGTATATTGCAGAAATGTTGTAAGTTGATTAGTTTTACACGCACACATTCTGGTATTGTACACGGAATATGTTCCGTATATAAAATACATCACTGCCTAACATATGGGTTTGTGTTCAACTCTAAGATATACGGATTCATGTCTCGATAAACACGGCCAAGAATACACCACCTTGGCAATCTGCCACCCCACCGTCGCTAATAGAGACACCATCACACGTCTTTTCTATTTCAACATTTGCCAACAGACTAATTGGACCTTACGGGTACAGTATAAGCCGATGACTAAACGCACCCGGAATGAGGCCGTGCCCATCGGACACCGCAAGGCTGCAGCGGGATTGAACCTCGAGAGTGCCTCGAGGATGGGTCAATTTTGTGGGGGTCACATGAGATCTGGACCAGCCTGAAATTAACGGGTGACATTTTGGGCAATTGCCCTCTTCACAGCATATAGTGAGGCCAGAGTGGCTACATAAATAGATATATAATGTGACGTGTCAGACATTGGCCAGACATCGACTTGGATTGTTTTTTTATTTTTAGAGCAGTGTTTATTGACGATTGTGTTGAGTGTTTTTGGGATGTGTTTGTGTAGCACTGCCAACGCAGTCACCGAATTATTTGTTGGAGTGGATATGAGTTGGAGACAGCGCTTATATAACGGGGCCTGATAAGAATTAGATTAGACAAATGTTCCCTAACTGATTTACATAATCTACTTAGTGATGCATTACAGGGTTCAATTCTCATTTCAATAGAATAAGATTTGATTCATTTACTTTTTGATTAAATCGTGTGGGTATGATGTCAATTTTCAGCTCTCCCCTCTACCACCGAAAACAGTTAATAAAATCAACTTGTCACGTGGGCAAATGTGCCACATTTTTTCCCCTGTAAACCGTTGGGATGTTGAAATGCGAGTAACATTTTCACAATATTATGTAGATTTTTTTACCTGAAGTTAGGCCAGGCATTAACGGCTGGGCGTGTTTGAGATGTGTCTTTAGTTGTGCCTGTTCACCACTGTCAAGGCAAACATCAATGTGGCAAGTGATGTTTGAAACAGTCCCTGGCATCTCGCTTCACCAACCCACGTTGGCCAGCGTGGTGAGGTATGGTCAAACAACTCCGCTTTGTCGAAACGCACGGGGGTGAGGTGGTGGGGGTGAATTCAGCAATGGACTTACAAAGGGCTGTACAGAAGTTTTAATAGAACGATTTATAGCGTAAAAAAATCAAGTCTAGTAAAATAATACATAAATGCATTGAAATGAATAAATTATACGATAATCTATCTACGGTACTATATAAATAAGAATCTGCTAGCCACTACGAGATGGCTTCAGGAGAGAGTTCGTGCACGGTTGCCATTCCCTTGCTATTCCTGCTGATCCTATGAGAATAAATAGCACCGGAGCGCAGGCGACAGTGGGTACCTATATGGCCCATAGTTTGGGTGGCATGGCCACAACCACGCGGCTGTGGCTTGTCTTTAGAGTCTAGCTTGCGAAGGAGACGTGCGCATCGGCATGGTGATGTTGTGGTGCGTTTGACGGTCACACGACCGGTGTCTACGAGGAGGCATGTCAAAGCCAGGAGGTTGCAAGGTTGACGTCTCGGATCAAGTGTCGACACGCTCGGCCGGTTTTTTTTTTATCAAAAAGTCGCAGAAAACATCCCGGCACCCGGCGCTAGGTGGCGAAAGAGGATTTAGAAAGGCATTGAATGCAACGGAGGAGCGGTCGTGCCTCCTTTTAACAATGGCCAAACAGACGCACAAATTACGGCCCCGCCGTTCATTATCTGGGCATGAACAAACACTCGAGGGCGACGTCATCGTGAGATTCGTGGTGACAAAAAGGGTTCACAACACACTGGGAACAAGTGAGTGGCGAGCGGAGACAGCCCTGCAATCTGTGGCCTGCTCACGCCGCTGCAAGCCACGAGATGGAGCGCTGGAAAGCTCCCTGAGAAGGGTATTTGGCCTACTCTTCCTCCGCTTGCCAGACGTCTTGGAGGGGGTGTGAGTAACCCACGCTTTACCCCACCACGCGATGCGACTTTCCGTACCACTGATTTGACTGTGGTGTACACGTACTGCTGAGGTGGGGGAGTGAGAACAAAAGCGTGCCCATGACTTTAACTGCCGCGCCGGGAAATCAAACCGAACCGGCGACCTCTGAATTGCAAGTCCAGTGGGTTCAGCAGCACACAATGGAACTGTTAATGCGTGTACAGTACTACTAATGCAGTATATTTGGTATTCGCAAGGTTAGCACAAAGGTATTGTGTGTCACTGACGAGCAGAGTCTGTCAGTAAGGGGCTGGGGGGAGATGTTACGCCGTAAGTGATTTTACCCAGATAAGTGATTTGCGACTACTTTTTTCCAATCTGCCAAAAAATTCCCACCGTCACGCAGGCACAAGAAGAAGAAGAAGAAAATGTCACTCCATTGTTTCACGTGCCGTGCCGGGAGATAAAAAAAAAAACCACTAAAACCGGCGCGACCTCTGGAATTGCCAAGTCCAGTGTGCTAACCATTAACAACAACACCACCACAGCAGCATCCTTGGCATACTGTGCACTAAGGGGTAATCTAAATCGCGTGCAAGAGCCCTCGTGGAAACACATGCCACTGTGGCTATCAGCAGGCAAGGCAAACCCACCCATTAGTCTGCTTGCCGGAAAGGTGTAATTTCAAAGGAAACCTGTTAAGTCTCAGTGGGTTTTTTTCACCCACAAGTCTGGCTGTGCTGGGAGGGTTGGTTGGGGAGGCTTGGAGTTGAGTGAGATGAAATCAGCCCCTAATTGCGTCTAATTCCAGGCATTTGTCAAGTTAAAGCGGGCACTTTTCCTTTCCAGCAGTCAAATTACTCGAGCTACACAGCGCAACTTCTATGGAGTCTTTTATTGCTTCGTTTTTATTTTTATGCTCTGTATTTCCTTCCAATTTCTCACTGATTTAATTCTCTCACCTTCCTTCCTCAGCGTCTTCTCTCATTTCCATCTCTGCGTAATTTCTTTGTCTTTTGAAATTACTCGTACAGTTGTGCGAGGGCAACAGGCTTTAAAAAAATATTAAACACTTTCATAGCCAGCATAGTCTGGCGCGTAGAAAATATTCTTAGCAATGTCAACTCCAAAAAATGTTGTCTTCTTACAAACAAACGTTAAATAAACATTCGCAACAACATTTTTATTACAATACACAGTGGCCAATAAAAGTTAGGCTTCTGAATTAGACACATTTACGTTTTTATTTACAAACAATGTCACCATTATATATTCACGCCACGATGTATGGACATCGATGTCGAAATGTCAAGCCACATCTTTCTGAAACGGATGAACTGCGGGCCAAAGTGACGTTTCAGATTGTACTTTATATCTCGTTAAACTAACGTTTTGGCCACCCCGTATCAGTACTTGGTTTAGAATTTGTTTTTGCATGTGTTCCAATCTACCAAAGAACAATTTAATAATACGTAACTGTTTTGTAAGTATAATATTGAATGTTTGATAAAACTAATAATAGTTACACAGTACGAGTTGAACGCTTTGGCTCGTTCCCAGTGACAGATGCTTGCGTCAGAACGTCGAGGGTTTGTTTTAAGGGAAACTTAAGATAACTCCCATCTACTTTAGACATGTGTACACGTACCTAAAGTTCAAACATTAAATTATTAATAAAAACAGGCCGGTACAGATAGTACACGAAGCACACGATATTAAGCAACAGCTGCCACTCGCCTCGGAATCGTCACAACCATCTTGATCGAACATGCTTCACGCGAGATGCTTCGCAGATTGTAGGAGCCACATTTCTGGACGCGACCACGCCGCGATTTCGCTGCTGTGTGTGTGCGGCTCTCAGACGCGCTTGCGGCTCCTGCCGCTCGGTGTTCGGCTCTCGGCTTCGCTCCCTGTGGCGCGAGATCTTCTTCGGGAACTGAATCGCCAGCCCGTGCAGCGAAACGTCGGACATCATGCAGAAACAACACGCGGCACAACCCAAAAACACATCGGAGAGCTAAATACCTTCATGTTTGGCAGTGGATGTGACAAACCACATCATGGTGACATCCACAGCACCGGACGGGTGAGCCCCTCGACACGCCTGTGATCTGTTCGAGTCACACGTACCGGCAACAGCTCTTCGCTCGAGCAATCCCTCATGCTGGTGGCTCCAAGAACAGTCTCACAGGCGGGTGGCCGGGCGCTTCCCTTCGTTGCACCGAAACTTTGGAACTCTGCGCCTGAGCAAAGCAATAATCTCGCGAGTGTTGATGTCTTCTCTACGAATCTTAACTCCTTTTTTAACACTGGATTTTTACACGAAGATTCTTATTTCATGGTGTATTACTATGTTTTGTTACTTTTATTTATACTGCATGTTTTTTAGTTTTGTTAGATAATTACAATGCAATCTACTGGTATAGATGTTATTGTTTTTGGTTAAAATGTGGATTTCAATATAATAATTCGTTTCACCATATATATCACGGTTGCTGAGCACAAGCCTCAAGGCACAAATTGCCAGGTATCCAGCAACAAGCAGCACTCACGTTGCGATGGATGAGCGAGAAGGGTTCATGCTTCGTGAATTGCGCAATGTTCTCAAAACCTGGGGGGGGAGAGAGAACGGGAGAAAATCCTCTATTTCTGTAAAGCGCCCTGAGTCGCCGTTGCGTTTCGACGCGACAAACACGTTCACATCGCTCTGTTTGTCGGTGTCATTAACTCGACCGACTTAATTTCACGCAAATGAGTTTCCTGCGGAGCGCAAACAGCGACGAAGTGAGGAAGGATCGGCTCCATATATTCTCACCGAACAGAGAGAGGCAGCCATCAGCGCTGCCATCCACCGTTTACAACATTTTTTCGTAATTTTAGTTTCGGTTTTGTTGAAGAGTGGAATATCCTGCAGGAGCCGGTGAACAAT